GACTGGGATGGCCCCTCCTCCCTCCCCTGGTTTACCACCTCATCTGCACTGCCCCCGAGGCCACAGAAACAATACGACACCAGGATGGAGATGCAGCCGGATCGAGACACATCAGGAATCCCTCAGAGCCGGCGGGTCTGCTGGAGGTATCGGGCGCCGCGGCTGTTTTCAGAGCGCCCCGGAACGCTCCGAGAGCGTTCCGGAGTGCAGTGGGGCGATCCGTCTTCGTCCTGGGCCTGCCCGGGGATACCCCTCACCGCACGCAGGGCTGGCGGGCGAACGTGCGCCACTGTGTTCTTCTTCTGCTCGAACGTCTTGTCCAGCCTCGGGCCGGGGGTTACCAAGGACCGTCCCTGACCTGACCTGGGGTGACGCGCCGCCAAAAGTCTACATAGACTGCGGTTGCCATCTGCTGCAAGAGACCTCTCCCGCAAGAGGCTCCCCATGTGTTCAAGTAAACGGCACCAGCTCTCCGCTGCAACCCTGTGCAATATGAGGGCGTGCTCGCAAGGGTCCTGCGGAGTGCTGACCTGGGGTGCACCCAGCTTTTCGCACCAGTCTGGAGCCCCTGGGCAAGATCTTTGGAGTCCCGAAACGGTGCGGTGACAGACCGTGCGTTGACCTCTAAATCCCCCAAGACCTCACCGCACGGTCCTCGGAGAACGACCCGAGTCCCAAAACCGTGCGGTGACCCCGAGTCCCCACCGACTCACCACACGGTGTGGTCACCACCCCGTTTGGGTCCCCCCGAAAATCTGCCACCATCGGTCGGGAAGCCAGATTGGACCGGAACGTGCGTCGGATTGGGCCGCACCGACACGAAGTCGGAATCGAATCGGATCGACTGCGTGAGGATGCACGACAGCGCCATACATCGGGCCGCATCGCATCGCCAGAACATCGGAATCGCATCGGATCGGTCTGGCCGAAATCGCCATCGAACCGGATTGATCGGATCGATTCCTCTGGGCCTGATGACGGGTGCTCCGGAGGCCGCCCAGGCCTCCCAAGAGATCCTGGGGACGTCTTGGGCTAGGGACACCTTGGCTGGCCCCGCACCAGCACGATCAGCCACGCCCTCCCGGACCCCATACCTCCAAAGACGCGAAAATGTCCAAGACTGAGGTTTTCGACAGATTTGCTGACCAAAAATGGGTGTAGGAAAAACGGGTACACTGCTCAACAGTGAATGCTTTCCAGATCCGACAGCGGCCGCTGTTTAGCAGGCGACTCTTTGTCTCAAATGGACAACGTCCGCGGCGACACCGACAACGCTTCCTGCTCAACGTGGACAGAAACTGCTACGAGTGTTCGTCCTCATTCTTTCCGTGCCCGCTTCGATCGCCCCAATGGGAATACCCCAAAAACAGCTCAGGACGAAAACCCAGTCCTTGGAGGCCTTCCAGATGGGATCAGAGCATACGGGGTCGGAGGAAAGCGCGCATATCGACGATGCAGCACAAATGCATCGGCGATACAGCGGCGACGTCGGCGATGCATCGGCGTGAAGAAAATCGGACTCCACATCAAGCCGCAACGCCGATGCATCGGCGATGCGGCGCGATCCTCCGACTAAGTCTACCAAGACGAAGACAGGACAAGGACCAGATCGGACAGGGATAAATCGGGGGTATTCTGAGGCCCAATGATTCTGAAGGATGCATTGGGCGCCGCTGCTTTCTCAGAGCATTCCAGAACGCTTTGAGAGCGTTCCAGAAAGTGGTGGAAAGATTATCCCTGTCCTAGCCCCGCCCGACCCATTCCGACTCGACGTCGGAGTGGAGACAACCCGGGTTCCACATCGAACCGCATCGCCAATGCATCCGCGGTGCATCCGCGGTCCTCCGACGCCATCTACTGAGACGAAGCCAGGACAGGGACAAAGTCGGACTGGGATACATCGGGTATCTCGGAGATCTGGCGGCTCTCTAGGATGCATCCGGCGCCGCTGCCTTATCGGAGCGTTCTGGGACGATGCCTCCCTGTTCTAGCCCCGCCCGTCCCACTCCCACCGACCCCATCTACTCCGACACCATCTAGGAGGAGAAGAGGAGTAAAGGGGCGATGAGGAGGAGGAGGAGGAGGATATGAGGAGGAAGAAGAGAGACTGATCCGCCGCGACAGGCACAGCCGACTAAGGAGGGCGTTCTCTGCCTCCCCTGAAACCTGTCCCGAAGGGCCTGCGTATAACAAAGAAGGCCCTGCGTCTAATGCGTCGAGCTCCTGCCTCGACGGCAGGAGCATGGAGGAGGAGGAGGAGGACTAGGAGGAGGAGGAGGACGAGGGCATTGAGGAGGGCGAGGAGGATCAGAAACCCAAGAAGCCTCAACGATGTTTCTATAAACCCTCCCTCCAAGTTCTCTTCTCCTAGATCCCTACAAGAACAAATTCTCAGTGCGGGAAATGACCCATAGAACAACCATTTCAGAATCCCCAATCGCACCAGCACCGAATTCCTTGAACGTCAGCGTCGCGAATCAGCAAGACTGTTGCGTCCAGACAATCCTAAATCGTGCTAGAACACCATTCCTGGAAGTCGAACACCGCGGATCAACGTGACTGATGCGTTCTGGCAACCCTACATTTTGCCAGGCACAACTCATGGGACTTCGGCCATGCGACTCCTTGAATCCTTGAAGCTGTAGCGAACGTTCCAAACGAATGGGCGCGGCGCTGAGGCAAGAACCACATCTCGAATAAGAATCGCCCTTCATCCTTAAAGTTGATGCAGACGAATGCAAGCGGCGCTAAGGCGAGAACAACAAGTTGAAAACAGCCCGACCTGCATCCGTGAGGCTGTTGTGAGCTTTTAACACGAATGTGCGCGGCGCTGACGCGAGGGCCACACTCCGAAAACGACCCGCCCTCCACCCTTCAAGCTGCAGCAGCTTTCAAAAACGAGAATGCGCGGCGCCAAGGCGGGCGCCATATTTTGCAAACGGCCCGCCCTCCGTCCGTGAAGCTGCTGCGAGCTTCGGGCTTCAGGATCGTAGATGATGATGGGGTCGCAGGCAAACGCCCGGCCCGCCTCACCGACACGTCTGGGGGAGCGACGGGGAGGAGTGACTTATGAGGAGAAAAGCTGGTAGAGGAGGAGGAGCGCATCGTACGAGAAGGGTTCGTCAGCAACTCAAGGCGGCGGGCTTGCAGCTGGGCGCGCTGGCGAAGTGGTAGACGGTGCAGCGGCGCGGGCAGGCGAGGAGGAAAGGAGGCGAGGAGGCAGCACGCATCGGCAGCGGACTCAACGAGGGAGCGGACGAGATGGGAATGGACAGAGCGGGATGGAAGAGGAGGAGGAGGAGGAGGAGGAGGAGGAGGAGGAGGAGGAGGAGAAGCCCCCTCTCACCGCACCCCCTCTCCGCCGCGCAAGCTGCAGGGGCCAGACTCCGACGCCGCCCGTTATCTACTCCGACCGATCGGTGCCGAGCCGAAAGAGTAAACGAACGAGCAATCAGGTCGTTCGGACGGTTCGATATGAACGAGCCGAACAGAAACAAACGAATCGAACGGGTGAACCGATCGGAGCCGCACCGAACAAGTGAGCGAACGAGCAATCCGCTCATTCGGACGGTTCGATCGTCCGGATGGTCCGAACCAGCTGACCCGAACCAAACGAACCGAACGAGTGAAACGATTGGAGCCGAACCGCACGAGTGAACGAACGAACACTTCGCTCGTTCGGACGGTTCGATCGCCCGGCTGGTCCGAGCGAGCGAACCCGAGAACGCTCTCGGCGAGGAGCAGCCGATGGAAGGCACCTCGAGGCTGGAAAACCGTCGAGAACGTCTGGGAATGTTCGAAAACCTCGAACCTCAAAACCATCCCCCCCAACCTCGTACCATCCCAGACATGCGATGCCGTGATTTTTGCAATGCACTGGAGCCCCCCCTCTCCCCAGGGCCGATCATTCATCCCGGGTCGTTTCTTGACGGTCCTGGGGCCCCGCGGCGGCCCACAGAGGCCTATGGAACCGAACCGAACGAACGAGCGAACAGTTCGCTCGTTCGGACGGTTCGATCGTCGGGCCGGTCCGAACGAGCAGAACCGATTTCTCCAACATCAGACAGCACACACACACACTTTTTTGGTCTGCGGGGCGAGAGCGAACCACTTCCGCTAAAAGCTAAACGGGCTACGCGCCGGCAGTTTTAATGAGGGAGACAGGGCACAGGAAGGCGGGGCCTCAGGCGGCCGGAGCAGGTGGAGCCCGGGGCGCAGGCGGTGCCGAAGAGCTCGCACAGGAGAAGGTACGCCGCGGACGAAGGACGGGGGCGAAGACCCAGGCGAAGGAGATGGTGTAGCCGTCAACGGCACGTCGCGAACACCAGCCTCAAGCACTGCGGAGGAGGACGCGCCACTTAACCAGGTCGACGCCCAGGGGGGAGAAGAGCACCATGAAGGCGATGAGCAACGTTGTGCCACCGGATGATGCGGAGGTTGCCCAGGAAGAAAGAAAGCACCATGAAGGCGATGTGCAACGTTGCGCCACCGGGTGATGCGGAAGAGGCCCAGGGTGGTAGTCCAATCCACGACCAGTTAGTCGCCTGCTTGAGGTGCGGCCACGGACGAGGGGGCCGTACATGACCGACAGGATGTCGGTGGAGTGCAAGGAGAAAACCAGCCCTGCACCGTCAGCGCGTGGAGACGGGCAGCAGCCACACACGATGCGCTGACATCCGCATTGCCGAGATCCGGGGCTGAGCCGCGCAGCGCCATGGCGAGCGGGGCCGCCGAGGCGGCAAGGTGCAGCGCCCGGCACCGGGCCGAAGCCGCGCAGTGCCGGGCGCTGCCGCCATGGGAGGGGGGGAAGCGAGCGGGTGGGAAGAAGCGAACAGGGAGGAGAAAGGCCGGCGCGCCACGCCAGCCGTCCTCGTGCCAGCCCGCACCGTAGGTGCTCACGTGGGGGGACTGGGCCCCGATGGGTACAGGTAGGACACACGGTCCCAGAACATGTCAAAAACAGGTGAGGGGGGAGGCGGGAGCAGGTACAGTCGGAGACCAGGTGGACCAGCAAGCGGTCGCTGCGCGTGGGCCGTGCTCGTCACAAGTGCTGTGGGGGTACAGGTAGAAGGGAAAAGGAGGACACACGGTCCCACGTCAGGTGAAGAGGGTGGGGGGAGGGAGCACAGGTGGTGGGGGTGGCCATTGGTGGGTAGGACCTTGAGCTTGCCGCAGGTTGTTGGAGCGTAAGAAGGCAGTCGTGCCGCGCGAGCAGGGGGACACACGGTCCCAAGCCAGGTGAAGAGGGAGAGGGAAGGGGGAACAGGTGGTGGGCGTGGCCAGCAGTGGGTAGGACCAGGACTTGGCGCACGTTGCTGGGAGCGTGGAAGCGGTCGCGGCGTGCTGTGCCAGTGAGGGGAGGCCCGGTCGCCGGCTGGTCAGCGCCTAGGGCGCTTTCCGGTCCAGTTGTCGTTGTACCCGGAGCTGCGTGCCTGGTCCTCTCCGCGCCCTTCACCTTTGGCGACCTCTCTTTTCCTCTGGACGTCCTGGTACAAGGCCTTCAGCACACACGCACACACACACACACGGGGGAATAAAGGAGAGGTGGGGAAAACTCCGATTAGTCCTCGGGGCCAAAATTCGACCAAGGCCCGATGTCAACTGTTACACCATCCAGCTTGAGGTGAAGACCGCGGGCTATGCGATTCCAAGGAGTGCAGGCTGCCCTGGGCCCCCGATCAGGGGAGGGGGCTGCAATCTCCGCGGAGACCTCGCACTTGTCCGCCGCTGGTGCTATATTTGCAGCGGCGGCAAACAGAAATAACAGAGTGGTCGCTGGCGTCCACAGAAGACCTTTTTCCATCACGTGGACCCCCAGAAGTCTGGACCTTCTGGGGGAGGAGGAGGAGGAGGAGGAGGAGGAGGAGGAGGAGGAGGAAGAGGAGGAGGAGGAGCTGGTTCTTCATCCTGACTCTGTTTTTGGACGGCCCTGGGGCCGGGCGAGGGCCCCGCAGGGGCCGAGAACGGCCAAAAACACTTCCGCCGTGTGTTTTTGTCAGGACGTGAGCATGCCTGGGGAGGCGTCCCGGGTGCCTGGGTGTGTCTGGCGGTGGGCCTTGTGTACAGTCGGGGCGTTGACCCGAGGAGACCTAAACAAGGAACGAGGCCCCTTTGCTCCATAAGTTAAACTTCGATTCCCCATGGAAAACCTTATCAGAACCTGAGGCAAACTGTGAAACAATCAAGGAACACCGAGCCCCTCCCCAACGAGAAGGGTTCCTTCTTCAGCGCCCCAGCTGTAGCTGTCGGTGCGCCTGGCGTTTCAGGCACACTGGCAGCCTCGGTCCCCAGCAAAGTCAGTCAGAAGGTCAGAGTCCCCTGGTCCCTCTACAACAGTCGAGCCTGGGAATTGCGCCAGCCTGTCGAGATTGGAGGAGTCAGGAGAGACCAAGATCGAATCGAGAAGCCGGATCGGAGACCGAAAAGAATCGGATCGGCAAGAATCGGCAGCCAAGTCGGGACACGTCGAGTCGGCGGAAACCGGCAGGCCATTAAGGCCTCCACCGAGAAACCGAAATCCGAATCGGAATCCGAAACCGAATCGAACCGGAATCGGAATCGGAATCGAAACCGAATCGAATCGAGCCGGAGGAATCGAACTGAGCCCCGGGAGAAGAACGTCGCCATCGTCGCGCCAGGCCCTTCTCCGCCCGCCGCTGGGGCTCCCGAGGCGAGCCGTCGCGCCCCCGACAGGGCGGTGCTGGGCGCCCCGCAGGAGGACGTGCCAGTCGGGCGGCTTCTCCATCTGCGGCCCGCGGAGGGGGCGCGGGTCTGGAGTCCCATGCGGCCGCGTCCATTCTGTAGCGTTGCCACCTTGCGGCAGACACACACACACACACCTTGCGTCGGCAGCAGGGCAGAGGGCGACTGCTGACACGCACACACACACAAACACACACACACACACACCCGTGTTGGCGGGCATGTCGTGTGACCCGTCTGGGGACACCTCGGGGGGAGCCCTCGGAGGGCCCACGGGGCTGAAGTGACCCCATGTTGGCCCCGAGGCCCAGCGGGGCTGTGTGATCCCGTGTTGGCCATGACCGCCGCTCTCATGCAGAGCCCATGTCACGCGAACAAAATGGACGGCGCCATGTGGGACCTGCTCCAGAGCAGGAACATACAGTAGACAGGTCTACCCTTTCTCCGACCTTGTGCAGCACCGAACTCAACGGCCGCGCTGCCTATAGACAACGCATCCACTCCGCATGCGTCTACATATGCAACGTCATCCAGCGTGTCCAGAGACGCTTGCGGCTAGAAAGTGAGAACGGTATTCGGCATTGGCCCCAGACCCACACCCCCGACGTCATGATTTTGTGCACAACCTCGACCCCTGGGGGTCTCGACCCATTCCCTGGGACCGTTTTCTCATCCTGACTCGTTTTCTGACGGTCCCGAGGCCCGGCAAGGGCCCCCAGAGGCCAAAAATAGCGCAAAGACTCCCGTCGTGACTGTTTCGTGACTACAGGGGGTCTGGGCCAGCGGAGGAGGAGCAGAACGAGGAGCAGGAATAGGAGAAGGAGGTCCTCTAGAAACAGGTGGGACTCTGGCCTCCAAGCGCGGGCGCGCGTGCGGGGGCCGCGCAACGCGGCGCGCGGGGTCTGCCCTGCGGCAGGCGGAGGCCCGGCCCTCGGCGAGGCCGCTGCGACTCTCGGAGCGGCCCTGGGCGCCCAGACCTCCACAGGCCCGTCAGGCATCCTGTTGTCGGCGACGTCGACGGCGACGACGACAGCTGACGCCGACCGACGCCGACGCCGACGACGACCACGACGATGACGACGACGAAAATGACGACGACGCTGACGCCGACGCCGACGACAACGCCGACGCGGACGCCGACGACGACGACGACGACGACGACGACGACGACGACGACGACGACGACGACGACGACAGCGACGCCGACGACGACGACGACGACGACGGCGACGACGCCGAGGGCGAGGGCGAGGGCGACGACGCCGCCGACGACGAGAACAACGACGAGGGCGAGAAGGACGAGGACGACCACGACGACGACGACGACGTGTCCCGCTCGCCGACGACGTCGACGACGTGTCCCGCCTGCCCGCCCGCCCGACTCACGCCTGGCGCCGGCAAACGACAACGACGACGACGACGACGACGACGACGACGACGACGACGACGACGACGACGACGACGACGGCGAGGGCGAGGGCGGCTCTCGGGCCCTGGGGCTGTCAGAAAGCAGCTCGGGACGGTTCCAGGGGAAAGATCCAGAGGCACAGGGGCCCAAGATTCGAACATATAGTCGTCGGGTGTCTCGGTGGTGCGCCGCCCCCATGCACGCAGGGGGGCCTTTTCGCAAAGACGCCAGGTCCGTCTCCAACCGCAGGCGAGAATCAATAATCCTGCTGTCTCGCTTTCAAAATCTCAGACAGTCCACCGAGCCGCCCAGCATTGACAATACCTGCGGAGTCACATGATCACAATCGCAGCTGAAGAAAGCTGCCACAAGACCCAGTGTGTGGCAGAAGCGATACGCCTGGAAATGCGTTCTCCAAACATGTTGGAGCTGTGCACAACAGTGTACGGGTTGCCAGGGTGGACTGCTCCACCTCAAAAATATCTACATCTACATCTATATCTACATCTAGGGCCAGGAAGGGGTTCGCGCCTTCAACGGCTCGCGCGTGCACGCATATATATATATATATATATATACATGTATACATGTCCACCTGTATATCTATGTATAGATGGATACACAAACATGTATATATCAGATATCAGAGGATGCTTGGTATAACCAACAACATGTGAAGCGTCATGGCACGCCAAAGTGTACGACACCCACCGCTGTCTCTTCGTGTTCGAGTGGAGTCCACCTCCGAGAAGCGCCGAAGAGGCACAAATATGCAAGAAACGTTCAACAAGCCATGCTAACACATCACATTGTCACTCGCACTTGTTAGAACTGGTCGATTCGAGCAGCACGAAGGCACCCGACACGGTGTCCTACCCTATAAAAAAACGAAGCTCACAGGGCGGAACTGACTGGCAGCCCACCTCCTCATCCATGAACCACCGAACGCCCTCGCTGTAGCGCTTCTGGGAGGGCGGGAACGCTCCAGGATGCGAGCTCGCGTACTAGTACACAGACAAGCGAACAGGTACTAACACACCCCATGCAAACGTAAGCCGAAGTAGAATACACAGACTGATGAACGAGAGGTTACCATGGTAAATTGGCCCACAGAAACACAACCATAAATGCATACTTGCTGGGTCGCTCCACCGCAATCAGGCAGGAGCGCGACCATGCAGCTGAGAATGAACGCAACCATGAATGCTGGCACAAACACCACCCGCTGGTGCAACAATGCAGCTGTGCAGATGAGCCGGCTCACTACGAAGACACCATGGACCCGTTTTCTCTCTGGCGGTTTCACCTGATGGCTCGAAGCCCCAGAACAGCCCAGGAAATTCCAGACGCCCTACAGCAGCAGAGAACCAACCCCGACCCAAGCACGTGTCCAGTGATCTCCGCTCCTTTCCTCGATGCTGCAAGTACTCGATCCGTCGCTGGGCAGTGCGAGGGCCGTGTATGATCCACTGCGTACGGCGCCACATCCTGGGCACGCTGCTGAAGCAATGGTCCGCTTGACCTCGTCGTACTCGTCCTCGGCGTCGTGCTCGACGTCGTCGCCCCGTCGGCGACGACGACATGCCACTTCCCAGACACCCGAAGTCATGACTTTTTTCACGTCGACCCCTGGAGTTCTCGATCCACTCCCCAGGACCAACTTTTCATCCCGAGTCGCTTTTTTTTAACGGGCCCTGGGGCCCTGCGAGGACCCCCAGAGGCCGAAGATAGCAAAAAAAGCCCGTCGTGATTTTTGCATGGCACGATGGAGTGCGGGTTCGGTGAGCTGGGCTCTCCTCGTCCAGCGGTTCGGGCGCCCCAGGCAACACCGAGGTGCGCGTCGGCGAAGGAGCCAGCGTCGGCGCGGCCGCGATAACGTCCACCGCCGGCCTCCCCACCAGCCACCGCCGTCGCCGTCGCCGCCGCCGCCGCCGCCCGCCCCACCGTCGTCGACATCGTCATCGGCGCCGCCGCCGTTGCTGCCATCGACGACGCCTGTTGCCGCCGCCGCCTTCGCCGCCCGCCGCAGGCATCGCCGCATCCGTCGTCGGCGCCGTCTGTTGCCGCCACCACCACCACCACCGGCGCCACATGTCGGCCTCCTACTGGGACACACGGGCGTCAACAAACAACGTGGTATGAAGCACTTCCCCTAGGGAAGCGGTGCGGACCTCTGGGGGTCCGCGTTGGGGAAAAATCGCGACGTCGGGGTCTGGGTCTCAAGCAGAGCTCTCTGGAGGTCTCTGCAATTTGCCAGATACCCCCCAAATGCCAGAGAAGGAAAGAAAGGTAAAAAGGACCTCGATCCTCAAAATCTGGTCCTCGGACCCCGCTGTCGACGTCGCCGCCGTCATCGCCGTCACCTACGTCGTCGCCGCCGCCGTCCTCGCCACACACACACACACGCACACTCACGAACCACACACAAACACACGCACAACAAAACAAACCCACACACACACACATCAACACACAAACACACACACACAAAACAACAACAACATAAGCCCACAACCCACACATAACCGCACGCAAACACTAACACACACACACACATAACACAAATACGCACACACACACACACGCACACGCACGCACATACACACCTTCACTCGTACGCACAAACACACAACAAACATACACACAACACACACACACACACGCGCGCATATGCAGATACCCACAGACACGCATGCAGCCATTCTGGCTCAGGTGTTCTCCTGAGCTTGCCGTCACCGGCGCTTCAGAACGGCTGGGTGACGGCGGGCCGTTGCTGGCTCGGCACTACTTCTTCCCGCCATCTGCGATTTCTCGCCATACCTGGGAAGACCAAGCCGGGGTCGTACCGTGATAGTAATTACGTTTATGACCACTATTCTCATGAGCAACGACGTTGGTCATGTTCCTACCCCGATTGCGGCTGCGCCAAGAATCAGCACCGGTTCCAGTGGTGCAAACATTGTGGTCGGTCCCGTGTTGATGTGGAGGTGTCTGAAGATCCTCGCCCGCAGGGGGATTGGCAAAGAGGACCGCCGCGAATCCTCCCAGGGTCCAATGTTGGGAACGGAATGCCAAAATACATCACCATCGAGGAAATCAATCCTCTCCCAGCCATCGCCGTCAAGCTCGGCAACAAGCAGGCTCGGAAGCAGCACGAGGCTCGGAGCGTCAAGCGGCGGAGGCCTTCCAGAATGTCCAGATCCATAAGAAGCGCCTCAGCAACACCATCGCCAATGTCGAGAAGGCTAGGCAGTGGTTCTCATAATGCGAGGAGAAGCTGTCGGTGGCTCAAGTGGAGCTGGCAGCGCAGGACAAGATTCAGAAACAGTTGGTTCAAAAGTTGTTTTTCCGTATTAGGAACCCCAGGAGCCTCCAGAGGTCTGAAGGCCTCGGCCACAACTGGAGCATCACAACTCACTACACAGTCCCATGGCAACCTCACCGTGCCTGTGAGGTGGACCCCGAGGTCCTGCCTTGCTGGGAAGCGCAGCGCACAGGACAATCATATACATTGAAAGCCCGACAGGCACATCGCCAGAGCCGCGCGACATGACCAACGACTGGGGCCTCCACAGCATATGCGCAATTCGAGGGGGAGCGAAAGAAGACGGGGAGGAACAAACAGGCTGGCAAGTATTAGGCTGCGTACCCGAGACACCGCAGTCGAGCACAAAAGAAGCAGCCGCAGGAGAGGAGGTTCACGGCGATGGGTAATGCATCCCAAGTGGCCCGAAACCTACAACCATCACTGACATGGACAGGAACGCAAGGAGGAGAGAGGGCGAATCAGCAATACCTGTACAGTGCCTCCTGCCGAAACAGAAGAGCCAGGCCAATTGCGGCCGACATCACTGCCACAGATTCCGATCAAGTAACCCAACGAAGCACTAGACAGAAAGGTGAGCTGCGCCAGCCCGATTGTGGGGCAGCTCAAGCCCGCGCGGATGCCAACCGCGAGCTTCCAGGCAAAACGGGGCGAAACGTCGGGCAAATAGTCTTGGCGGAACGCCGGCTCCGCCCGCGCGGAAGCGACGGGCCCGCGGGCAGATGGCGCGCGCAATCAAGAGAACCCCACCCCTTCAGCGCAACGCCTCCCTGGGGGAAGAAAAAACACACCATGCCAGACATCATGCAAGTAACAGCGGCGCAACATCACCAGCGGCGACAGCCAAGGAGGAGGGGAGGGAATCAGACGGAGGCGACGCCCATGACAAGCGCATCGGCTTAGACGGGTCTTCCGGCTGGCCCGGATAGGCTGCGCGACAATTCAAGCAGGGAGGAAAGGAACGAGGGAAGAGGAGAGACGCGGGAAGCCCTTGAAACGAATCAACCAAACTGCGCGGCACACAATACACCGGCACTGCAACAAGACGCGCGCAACCAGCACACTCCGTCTTGGTTGAAACCTGAGGTCGCCACCTCGGTCGCCGCCCCCACGGGGGGCCACAAGCTCGAGGAAGGCAAAGGACCACCCCCGACGACGACGACGACGACGACGACGACGCTCACGACGACGGGGACGACGACGTACGTCGCGCGATACGCGGAGGCGCCCAGGGCCCCGAGCGCTGCCATCTCCTCCTGCTGCGCACCACGCACCCCCAACCACGTGGGGAGCAGCCAGTCCTCACGCAGCCGCAACGAGGCGGCGTGGAAACGCCGGATCGTCCTGCATCGGCTGTAATGCTCAATGCTGTCCTGCGCCTGGCCCCCGCACCCCAGCTGGCAGAAGTTGTGGATCCCCAGCGCGTTTGACACAGGCGCGCGGTGAACTGGCGATACCATGCGGTGCTGAAGACGGCGGCAACAACGCGCGGCGGCACAAGGCGACGAACCCGCTGCAATGTGGACTCGGACCGCTCTGCGACGATCCCCGGCAAGCCAGGCAAGGCCCGCCGATCCAGCTCGCGTCTGATTCGAAAATCCGGCTGTGCCCTCCTGGATTCCTCGATCAGCCCCCGGGCAGCCGCCTGGAAACGGCGCCCTGCCGCGGCAGTGAGCCGCCCAGCGCGGTCAACGGTGGCCCTGCTCGCGGCTAGCTGAGCGACTGTGCTCGACAAGACCAGGGGCATCGCAGAATCGAACCACCCCACCCAGGCCGCCGCCCTCATCACCATGTCGGTCGCGCCCCTGGCTGTCCTGACCTGGAGCGCCCTGCCATCCAGCTGCGGCCCCCCATGGGCGCTGTTCTCATTGAAGAATACCCATCTGAGCGGCGCGCGCCACGACCTCGAGCGAGCCGAAAGAGCAAGGCATGCCGAAATGTTCCTTGAGGGACCACAGGTCGCTTGGCACGCACCGGAACCCAAGGCCTGGCGCAGCCCGTCGCAGCGCCCACTCTTCCGCGTGAAGCGCCTCCCGGGAGGGGAGCGCCACTTGGGCGACAAAAGGATAACACTGGCAAAGCGTACGCATTGCACGCGACGGCAGCGAAATGGAGCCCCATCCGGCTGCAACTCCAGCCTCCCACTCGTTCCCTGAATCTCTCCAGGGCCGTCTTCCACGTTTGTTCCGCTCTGCCCGGCCCGACGGCGCAGCCCAGGTAGACTGCAGCGCGCTTCGTTGGCAGGTCACCCCGCGCTGGGCAAGCCTCCGAGACGACAGCGGAAGCGGCGTCCAGCGTGTCCCCCCACAGGGGGATGCCGACCGTCTTTGGGAGGTTGACAACCATGCACGACAAGTCGCCAAACTCGCCGAGGGCTTGCTGCAGCATCGGCAACTGATTCCTCACGTCTGCGAGCACGATGCCGACGTCGTCCGCAAATGCCCGCATCAATACCTCAGGCCCCAGTCCGCGACTCAGCACGCGCAGCAGCAAATCCAAGGCAGCCGCGAAGATCAACGGCGAGAGGGGGCACCTCTGCCACTGCCGGATCCCTGACCGCAGGGCGAAGCCAGGCCATCGCGAGCCGCCCGCCGAGACAAGACACTGCCCGCTGTCGCACAGCGCGTCGAGCACTCGCAGCGCCCCGTCGATCATGCAGAACCCTTCCAAGCACTTGCGCAAAAATCTGCGCGAGACGCTCGGGAACGCAGCCATGAAGTCGACGAGGACCATGGTCCCTTCTGGCTGCGACAGGGCTGTGAGCATTACGCGGTGCTCGAGTTCAATCACGTTGGCGAGCATCGACTGGCCAGGGAGAAATCCCCGTTGCGCCTGCGGCACCCAACGGCCCAGTGGTGCTTCCCAGGGCTGTTTGCAAGCTGCTGCTGTAAGTCGGTTCGACACGTCGACCAAAGAGGGGGGCCGAGTACATTCTGCCGTGTACACATCCCCCAGTCCTGGGTGCTGTTCTACTGGCTTCTTCGGCATACAACACAGGACACCAAGGTTGAAAGTGTGGTCGTCCGCATAGGCTGCGCGCAGGTCGCCGCCGGCGTCCACAGAGCGCGCGCGGAGTTGAAAAGGGCGTCAACTGCCAGGGGGCCAAGCTTTTTCCACAGCGACACGCTGATACCATCTGGCCCCGGCGCGGACGGCTGCGACTGTTCCAGCGCAGCTACCACGTCTTCTCGGCGAATCTGCCAGCGGCTGGAGTCGGAGGGCAGGCCTGCAGGGCCATCCGCGCCGCACTCTTGGATCCAAGACTCCAACTTGTCTGCGTCAACGTTCCCCGCCGCAAAAACCACGCACAAGTGACGGGCCAACTCTTCAGCCATCGCCTCTGGCGGCGTGGCGATGACGCCTTCCCGCGCTTTCAGCGCGCGCAGGCTAACTCCGCCACCTGGCTTGGGTCTTTGGATTATGCTTGCTGTTGACTCGCGCCGCGCAGCTGCCACCTCTGCCGGCAGCTGCGCCGAGATCCCGCTGAGGTCGCGCAGGTCCTGGCGGATGTCTTCCCGAGCTGGCTGCAGGACCCAGTCGCGCAAGATTTGGAGCGCGGCCCCGT